GTCTGGAGCCATACAAAGAATCCCACTTCTGACACCAAGTCTGGAGCCATACAGAGAATCCCACTTCTGACACCACGTCTGGAGCCATACAGAGAATCCCGCTTCTGACACCAACTGTAAAAGGACGATGATGAGTGGCAGTGGGGGTGGCATCTGACCAGCTCCAGCTACACAAAGGAGTAGGAAAGTCAAATACTACGCAAGACTAGCCCAAGACCAATTCCTAGGAGGGTGAGGTCAGACATGCCCGCCCTCCAATCTTCCTTCCAATTCTGCCACCAATGGCAGAATTGGCCACTCAGGTCTTTTCTCTGAGAAGCCGTATTAAATAATGCACTCTGTGACTGCACGGGTCACATAGACCTTTTATACAATATTCACAATATGGGATTTATTAAGGAAGTTTAATAGGTTATAAAAGCACCCAAAACCAAGCTCGCTAGCATTGAGTCAATGCTCACTCATAGCGATGCCCTGTGGGTTTCTGAGACTGTAACTGTTTATGGGAGTAAAAAACCCAGTTTTTTTCCCTCAGAGGTGCTGATGATTTCTAACTAGGGACCATGTGAATTACAGTCCAACTACACCACCAGGGCTCCTATAAATGCACAGGATACAATTATACAGACAGAACAGCATATCTTCTCAGCCTTGCAAGCAGGAAGCCTCTCTCTGGTTTTTTACCTCTTAGCCACACACAGTCAGTTGGCCTCTGCCTTGCTTATGCAATATTACAAAGCTCTTGTAGAACTGCCAATATATGCCCAAATGGCACAACAGTCCATAATAAGTTTCATCTGGAAGATGCTCAGCTCTGGCTCTAAGGGCCAGCAATCTGAGTGGGCTTCCTACTCTACAAGCCAGCGTCTGGCCTGAAGGCCCTCAGCTTTCCCTTCTCTGTGAGCTGAGAAGTCCACTGCTCTGTCTCATGCTCTGTTCCTGGTTCTGACGCTCCTCTGCCACCCCTCTGGTGTTAAAGCTTTCTCCTGGATCAAGGAAGTTCAAAGCACAGAGATCTTGGGGTTCAGAGAACATGATCCACTCTAGGCTCTTCTCTCGTGTTGGTAGTGAGACTTCCCCCTTTCTGTTTCAATGGCTCATATTATACCCAGCAGGATGGCAATGGCAATCAACCCTGCTAACTTCAATCACATCTGAATCATATAATCCACTCAGCACCCCCCACCTCATCCCCCCACCACACACATATTTTCTTACTTAGACGTATCAGGGGAAAGGTCCTTTGGTGAGTGGAATAAAAAGCTTTGGCTAGCAGAGCCATATTAAATAATGCCCTGCGCTGCAATTTGCAATTGCAGAGTCATTTAAATTCTAGCGACTACACCTGCTTTGAAATTTACAATACTAAATTCTTCTTCCTAGATAATACAAGACTTACACCTTCATTTATATCTTGAACTTTTTTATATATATATCTTGAACTTTTTAATGCCAGTCATTGTCTTGGACTTTTAAAATTGTTCTTTAATCTTTTTATCAAAGTTAAGACAGCTAATTTAGAAAATATAAAATCACATTGGTTATTTTACTTGACCCTGGGATTTCTTTCTTTCTTTTTTTCAGGAACATAGATGTGGTGGGAGAGGTGAGGGGAAAGAATTATGAATTTGGGCAGGGGGAAAGACAATATGGGGAGTTCTACCAAAAATTTAATTTCTGTGGCGGCGAAGTTATTGATGAAGACCAAAGATTATAGTCTTCCATGTGGATTCACCAGAAAGTGAGCCAAAAGAAAGGCCTCACTAGACCAATACACAATATCATGATAAATGACGAAATTGAAGTTGTCAATGTTTTATTCGACTGTGATCAACAATCAATGCCTCTGGAAACAGCAATCAAGAAATCAATCAACATATTACATTGGGAAAATCTACTGTGAAAAAGTTGAAAGTTTTAAAAAGGAAAGACATCTCTTTTGATGAGTAGACATTTTTGATGGAAAGACTGACTCAAGACACAGTCTTTTACATCATCCCCCTTGTATGGGAAAGCAGGACAGTGAAAGGAAGCCCCCAAAGAACTGATGCATTAGAACAAGGTATGTGTAAAGAATATCGAATATACCTGGAAAGCCGAAAGAAAGAATAAGTCAGCCTTAGAAAGCCCAGAATGCTCTTTAAAAATGAGGATGGTGACAATACAAGAGCAATCAGTTCTTACTGACGTGGCCCTGCTCAAGGCTAACCCTCGAGAAGAGATCACTGAGGATGTGGGAGCTAGAGCAAGTGTGGTGAAGAAACCAGATGGTGCCTGGATATCTGAAAAAATATCATCTGCGCTCTTAAAGGCTTGTCTTTTTTAAAATATTATTGTTAAATCATTTTATTGGCGGCTCGTACAACTCTTATCACAATCCACACATACATCCACTGTGTCAAGCACTCCTGTACATTTGTTTCCCTCATCATTCTCAAAACATTTGCTGTCTACTTGAGCCCTTAATATCGGCTCCTCATCCCACCACCCCACCCCCCACCCCCGCCCTTCCCCCAGCCCCTCCCTAATTTTCTTCTATGTATCAAAGCTCAGCTTCTGCCACCTCTCCAATGCCATGGAGTCAATCTTTGACTCACAGCAACCCAATATAGTGTTTCCCAGACTGTACATCTTTATGGGAGCAGATAGCCTCATCTTTATTCCAAGGAGCGGCTGGTGGGTTTGAACTGCCAACCCTGGGACTAGCAGATCAATGCTTAACCCAACACACCACCAGGGCTTCTTATTTCTGACACCGAGTGTATTAATTAGCTATGACTCTGTAACAAATTAACCCCAAATGTAATGACTTAGATGTAGTGACTTATCTCGACACCATTCTAGGTCAAGAATCCAGGTATGGCTCGGATGGGAGTTGGTTTGGCTCCGGGTCTTTCTCAAAGCTGCAGTCAGAGGCTGACTTGGGGGATTGACCAGGACAGCAGCAGGCCTTAGCTTCTAGCTGCATGTTGGATGAAGATGCCAGTCTCTGGTCACAAGGGCCTCTTCCTTCACACGGTTACTCACAGCCTGGACGCTTGCTCTGAGGATGACAATGAGAAACGGAGGCCTCTGGTTTGAAGCTACTCAGTCACTAGGGCTGGTGGGTGGGTGAGGGCGAGACATGATGATCTTCTCTCCTAACGAGTAACCTGTTGCTGTAGTCAATGCCAACTCATAGTGACCCTATGGGACAGGGTAGAACTGCCCCCATGGTTTCCAGAGCTGTCATTCGTATGAAAGCAGACTGCTCTTTCGTCTCCAGCATAGCCGCTGGTAGGTTCGAACCACCGACCTTTTGGTCAGCAGCCACAGCTTAATAACCATCATACCACCCGGACTCCTTCTCTTAAGATGACAGCCTCGGACTGAAGCCCTGTGGCACAGTTAGTTCCACTCTGTCCTGTCGGGTTAGTATGAGTGGGAATGCACGCTATCTTCACAACAGCAATGACAATCTTTGAGGGAACATACATCCCATTAGCCATTGGAGTAGGGCACTTGGGCAAGCCCACATTCAAGGTCAGGACATGACTGGAAGTCATTTTAGAAGCTGTCTACCTCACAGGCATGAGATAGAAGGCAGTGCTTGCTCCTCCGTATAACCGTGGCAAAAAATCGCTTCTTTTTAGTTTGTTTTTTTTCATTTTTCCTTTTCTTTTAATTTGTACTCAATGATGGTCAATGCTTTTATAAAATACAATACAAATTGATTTCCAGGAAGATAAATTAGCTTAAAAACCACTGCCCTTGAGCCAATTCTGACTCACTGTGACCTTATATAGGACTTAAGAAGCTATAAATCTAAGTA